GAACAACCTCATCTCCTATGACCAGGTAACATGTGCCCTAGACAAGGGAGATGACGTAGATGTCATATATTTGGATTTCAAGAAAGACTGTAACCAGTTCCCCATGATGTCCTCATGGTTAAGCTGGGGAACTGTGGCCTCATTCGGCCTCCTCATATGGTGCGATGACTAGGCAACTGGCTACAGCAGGGGTAGGCAACATTTTTTGGCCAGAGTGCCGAAAGCCCCCACAATGCCTAGCTTGGAAGGTGCCAGAGTGCTGGCATGCCAGAAAAACAAAATGAGGGCAGGGGGTACATGGCAGGATGCCCTGCTTGTGCCCCTTGCCCCCCACCCAAAGCCCCTGTTAATGTTTCAGTACATGCTGCTGCAGCATTAACTGATACAAGATTTAGTGAATGGCAAGCACAAGGAGAATACACAGCAAGTTCATTTTTGGACATAATGCAGGCCTGAATACCGTTTATTTTCCCTGACATATTACAACCATTATCAAAACCTTGACCTCTACAGTCATCAAGAGGAATGTTATGATGCTTCAAGCTGGCAATTAGCATTTCAGCTGTTCTCCACTGTCGCCGCTGGGACTCAACTAATCGCTCTCATGCCGCTCTTGCTCGGGTAACTGATGTTGTGCACCTCTTGGGTTCACGCTTCTGCCTGAGCTAGTGACTTCCACCCGAATCCTTGACCCTGCGCTCGCCTGCCACAACTTGATGACCTCAGTGTCCGGGGCCAGTCATCGGGCGTGCTTCTTGGCCCCAAGGTTCATCCCAGCGGTTACTCTCAGGGTTCCGCCACCCCTACACCCCGGCCTCACGCCTCCTGTGTAGTGGCCATAAGTTGGTCGGCGTCTTGCTCCTGCGACCCTCGACTGGGTCCTGCTTGGGTCCCTCCCGACACTACCCAGCCTACAATGGGGTTCAGCTACTCTCCAGACCCCTCGGAGCCTGGGGTAGAACCAAAAATCATGGAGAAAGAAAAAGGAAACCCAAACACAAAAACCAGGCGTACTGC